CAATATCACAATAACACTATGCCCCACAATTATTCACCGCCATTCTCACCTCCATTTGACAAGGCCCCTTTGTATGTGTGGAATCTTGTGCCGACCTTTCTGTCTCTTAACCGAGTTAGTTGGTTCTTCTTTACAAAATTTCGCCGTCATTCCACTGGGGCATTTCCCATTACCACAAACCTCGAACGAACTGAGCATTTCAATGTCGTCCACTGCATCAGACCTCTCAGTATAGCCGTGCATAGTTTTCAACTCATTCCACTTGTGGTCTCCCGTAGGGCGATAAGCTACCGCAAAAACATTTGTCTAAAATTGAAACCGAATAAATTCAAATAAATATTTAGTTATTGTAATAAATAATATCTTAAGGTATTATGGAAATCCGACTTACCTTAAAGATGAAACTCCAGACTGGGTTTATCGCGTAAACCGTATTATTTTCCTCGCAAAGTTCGACACTGGGACACACGAGAAGCCATTTGAACGTTTTGTAACGTGTTTCTATTTTTTCCAACTTCTGCATTCATATATTGTAGCAGAAATCCAACCCATAGTGTTTATGAATGGCAACATTGGCAATGAGGACCGCAAATAGTTTGGGTTTTCCTCGTTCAAAATTGTCTCGTTCAGCTTCTGATGCCAACATGTTGATGAAACAACTGTCGACATGCTCATCCCAGTCCAATTCATAGAATATCTCTTTCTGACTGGGTTTTTTGGGTGATGGTATATCCATGATCTTTGTTTGGAGTTCTGGAACTATGTACGTTTGCATTTATATTTATTTTTTAGTCAAATATTTTCATTTAGAAAACAACAATTATTGTAAAAGCAATATAGAACAACAAAACAAGGTTGTAAAGAAGACCCTGCGTAAGGTCTTGTTGAGTAATAGATCTGCAAATATATAGCACTATTTGCTTTACCAAAACCCTACTTTTCAGATAAGGCATATATTCCTCACCACAAACAAACAAAATCTCAATAAAACAGAATCTAACAGATTTGTTTTGTCATGCTTTCATTACAATTGGTTCAAAGTTTATAGTGATATAGCACATCGACCGGGTCAAGACTGTCAATGAAATGGGAGAAAATAGAAAAATAAATTATGTTAAAATACAATATATTAATACAGTTTAGTTTTGAAACATGTAGTTCATATACACTTATCTCATGGATATTTCCCACACGTTTCATATTTGAAGTTGCACAAAGCAATTTCTTTGAATACAGGTGTCATGTTTATGTACATGCAACCAAACCAATCCAAGTATAAAAGAAAGACCAACACTTTTAATAAAATTGGGTAGTATCAATTGAAGCTGCAGCAAGGGAGGTACATGAACACAATCATGTTTATTCATAAAACAAAATTAAGAAAAAAAATACTTCTAATTTGAGCCAAATTATTTTCAATCTGTTACTCTTATCATCCTTTTGTTCGTTATAATTTTGTACATTAATATTTTGTGCTTCTATTTTCATCAAGTATGGTGATGACACGCAACCAACGTATCGCATCAACGTTTAATGGAGTCGAGTGGCCGGTCGAGTATGATGATTTCATGATGGACCATGTTGATTATTTCTCATTGCCTTACGATACCCTTGCCAATGATGTTGTGTTCAATTCGGTTCTCGAAGTGGTTGCGGTTGAAATGCGCAGGATGTATAGGAGAGAGATAACGAACGAGGAGGTGAAGCGTCGAGTACAAATGATGCGTAATCAGTACCACACATTTCTGGATTTCCTTATGTTACCGATAATGGAATACAATAGCCAGACAAAAAATGTGACAACTAACGACACGTATGACCCGACAGTGAATGGACATGTTCTATTTTATTCCAAAATTATACAAGTCACTAATGTGCTTTATTTAGGAGAATATATACCTTGTTGCTTAATGTGAAATTTTTATTTTTTTTATAAAATACAGAAGAAACTCTTGTACAATTATTTTCGCGCCAACAAATTTACATATTTTGATACGTGTGAACTCATCTTCAACGAAAATGAGGCAGGAGCGATCGACTTAGGTGGTGGCCAAGGGGATCGCATTGAAGATCCGATACTAGTCGAAGCGGGGTACACGTTTCGATGAATACTCGACACATGATTCTGACATGGAAGCCGATCGAGCAATGTATCAGGACTACATGGAAATGCAATAACTCAATGAAAATCCTTGGGAATGGGGTTGGGACGCTGCATCGGTAGAGTTGGATGCCGGTATGGTGGCTGAGGTTGGCTGGGATAATGCACCGGAACAGTTGGACAATGGTGTGGCAGGTGTGGTTGACGGGGATAATGCGATGGACGACTGGGATTCTGCATTGGAAGAGTTGGAGGAAGGAAATGTGGTTGATTCCGACAATGAATCGTTGGCCGAATCTGAGTCTAATTCAGGAGTCACTCAGTCTTTAGAAATTTGGCCGTGGTGTGCATGTGTCGTTTTTTTTACGTGGAAGTATTATTTTTGTGTATGTCTAATTAGTACAAGTCATGTGTTGTTGTTTTATTTTGTCTAATGTATATGAGGTTTGACTTCATGTTTTGTAATTTTCGTATGTATGATCATGTTCTTATTAGTACGGTAGGTCGTATGATGTTGTTGTTAGTAAAGGCGGATGTTGTAGGATGGGGTTTGAAGGTTTGCATTTCTTCTGTGAATTTCTCCGTAAATACCATAACCGCCAGCATTGGGGGTTAGCCTCCAAAACTACGTGCATGTTCAAGGAGAGGTAACAAACAATATAATTTTATTTGCGTATACAATATAACCCCCAAACTACGTGGCTGCTCAAGGAAAGTTAACAAACAACAAATGAAACTCTATGTTACGTGAATGTTGTATTTTTATGCACGTATTAAAGGAGTTAAATAATATTTCATTACAAAACATGTCAGATTTCTCAATAAGATAACATTCTTTTATCTTGACAAAATAAATATTCTCAAATTACACCACCCACGATATTCGAATATATTTCTTCTGTAGACAAACAAACAGAGAAGATATTATGTGATTCTACTTTATTATGTGATTGGGGGTTGCTAGTGGATTCCTATATTTTCGTGCCTTTCCCCTACAACTGCTTATGAAGCTTAATAATTGATGTGGACCATCCTAAAGAAGAAATTAATGGGTAAAACCGTGACTCGTTGTCTATAAAGAGACAAGAACCTTGGCATGTGAAGACGCCACAATTGATTGCAAAGATCGATTGATAAGTCGGGGTGAACGCACAAAATCCACCGATATGTTCGAAAAGTTCTTAAAGAACCAAATAGAATAATCTCAATTTAATCATCGAAATTCGTCCCTTAAAATAAGCCAAATTGACAACCTATTTATAAGATCTAAAAATACTCATTTTTCACAAGGAAATTGACTCTTACCTAAACTATAATAACAAAACCAATAAATAAGAAAATCCTAACCATAAAGAACTCTAAAATAATAAAAACATAATAAATCCTAAAATAAAAACGTGAATAAATTTATTAAATAACTTGAACTTCAAGTCGACTTCCCGGTCACCCTTGTAAACTCGCGTAGCTATTTGGCTGTGCACGTGCAGACATTTCAAACTCGATTTCAATATTGTTCTGCTTTGAATGTCTCTCCGCTCAAAACATGAAAGCCGTAGAAGTTTCAGTTGTTGTTTCTCAGCAATTTGAATCATCTTATTAGATGTCATATGAGAGAGTTATAAGATGAATGATAAACCCTGCCAGAATTATACGGAACTTTTAGGATGCATGAAATTCGACTTGGCCAACAAATTTCCTTTTTCTTTTCTTCCAATTCCAAACCATGAACTATTCAATGGTCTTATTCAAACCTTTAGTCTCCAAGGACAACTTGAGTAGCATCTTTAAACTCGTACGCTTTCGCTTCTTCCAATTCTTTATCTTAGAACTTGACAAGATCATATCAATAGTTCATTAGGGTAACACACAAACTACAATAAACCAGCATATGTGACCTTATACTTTTTTAGTTTTGGATGTCTTCTCATCACAATGAGTCTGCATTTTAACAATTGAGATAAACAACGGTATTCATCCCGTGTACAACCAAGTTCCAACGAAATAGCGATCTGTAGGTGTTTTGGTTGTTTGTTCTTGGACTGAAATCATGTTAATAATCAACTGTTCTTTCCAAACGCAGTATTATAAAAAACAAGTACAACGAGAACAATGATGCCATACAAAATGCAAAGTGTTACATAACAAATTCAGACGACGCATAAGATTATTGTCATTACAAGGAGCAGTGATGTACATAATGCAAGAAATTTCCACTTTTCAATTTGCGAGCAGCCTCCCTTGAGTTTTAAGCACAAATCTTCCTCAATAAACCGTGGGTATTATGTTCTTCGCTCGGTCACAAATTTCAGCATTACACCAGTAGAAGAAGGTACACTTAGTTTGCTACAAAAAAATCCAAAAAGAGCAAGACGTTAATCAAGGAAATATTTCGGCATTAACTAAGTTGACCTAAACTTACCCCTCTCGTTGGACATATAACGAATCGACGGCCTGAGTTTAGTTCCGTCCACGAAGTTTGGACCTTCACGGGAATGCCACAGTAGCAAACAAAAGGATGGTTATGACCCTGGCCTTTGCTAAAGTACCCCATGTTCCGTACTTGGCCACGAAAACTGTTAGCTCATCGTCTTTTTATAATTTATGCAATATTTATTGACAACCAATTTTTTTTTTGTAACAAACAAAAGAAAGGTAAGGCCATTGCTTGACAAAGAAAAAAAAATACATATACTATGTAGTACATAGAAGGAGGCATCCACTTTATATAGTTGTACAAGCAAAGGCGAATGGCATAAATGATTTATTACATTTTTATGTGTTGTTATCACACGAAGAAAACGCAAAAACGATCTAATATGATAATTCACTATGAAACTTAATCAGACAAACCAAAGAAGAGTTGATTAATTTTTGGCTTATCCGAACAGTTTAATACCAACCAAATGGGGCCTTAATCTCACCAAAACCTTTAATAGTAAATTTCTCACGTGGTGCGCACGTGCGTGGCAGATGCAGATCTGTGTCTTCCCACTCCCCCGAAGAAGAAACAGAGAGCAGCTCCTGCAAATCAATAGGGAAAACAAAGAAAACAGGAGGAACCACCAGCTGTTTCAGTAAACGGCGAGATGGCCGCTTTCATGACGGTCTTAGAGTCTGATCTAAGGGCTCTTTCAGCGGAGGCTCGTCGCCGTTATCCCGCCGTCAAAGACGCCGCCGAACATGCTATATTGAAGGTTTCAATCCGAATCCCTACCTTCCTCATTTCGGATTGCTCTCTTTTTTTTTGTTTGATTGGTGATGTGATAATCGAAGACCCAAAATTGAACCGTTGGGCTTCCGTTTTCTGTTGATAATTGAACTGACAAGTGAGATAATTTGGGAATTTCAGCTTAGATCGATGTCGAGCCCGAGTGAGATTGCGCACAACGATGACATTTTGAGGATATTTGTGATGGCCTGTGAAGCTAAGAACGTAAAACTAAGTGTGATTGGTTTGTCATGTCTGCAAAAGCTCATTTCGCATGACGCCATTGCTCCTTCTGCTTTGAATGAAATCCTTTCCACTCTCAAGGAAGTAAGTCCAAATTTATATATACTGATCTGCTCACTTCATGAACGCCCAAAACTCTATAATCACTTGCACATTCCAATCTCATTGGGTTTCTCTTGTTTTTATGGTTTTATGATTGAATCAGACATACTTGTGAATACAATTTATATGGGTAGCTTCTGTTTGGTCAAATTAGTGGTTTTCTTGTGGTGCTTTATGTTATAATTTTTTAATGTTTCCAAATTCTTGAAGCACTTCTCGACTTTTTTGCTTTCGCTTTGTCTATGCTAATTCTGAAAAATTTCCTTTATTAGTTACTACTAGTGATTGACTGTGTTATAAAAGAGGCCTTTTTCAGGAATATGAGATTAAGGATAGAGTGATCGACTGAGTAGCTTTGTAAAAAGAGCTCATGAGTGTTCCGGCTGAATTTCACTTAAGGGATTCTACATAAAAATGCAATTCTACTTTATCACTTTAATCTCTAGTAAGAAATTTCAATCAAGAATCAAGACTTTCATCCCATAAGCTTGGTGAGATCGGTTTATAAGATTTTGTCAAACCCTTCTATCCTTGAGTTTGCTCAATGGTTATATAATACAAATTTCCAAGCTTACTAGGGTTTTTCTTGGACGTAGATAATGATTAAATCAAAATATAGAAAGCCATATTACTGAAAGCACACTCTGATAGGGCATAGAAATGGGTTAGTTGACACGGAATATGATTGGGTTAGTTGGTCCGCGGACAAGGACTTTGGGCAAGAAAAGGTTCTGGTCTTGAGATGATAGAGATTGATTAGAGAATGCTTATTTTTTTCTCCTTTTACTTTGATTGATGATGGATCTAGTGTTTGGTTTCAATCCCTAGGGGTCTAATAAACTAAGAAGTTCACTCCTTTTTCTCTTCACCTGGGCGGTTGATGTTTTGAGTAGATTTAACTTTCCTGTTGAGGCGTATTACATTATTATGTGGTTCGGAAAGAGAGAATATTTTATCCAATCTCTGATTTCTTGATGACGTAATTTTCTGCATTGACAACTGTTGGAGATATAAATATTAAATGATGCACCTCAGTAGCAACTTAAGCTTTTATGCTTTTAAATGAGGTGATCATTCAACATGGTATCATCTGATAGGCCAAATGAAATGTCCTGTTTTCTAATCCCACTGCCACATATTTAAAAAAATCCCACATTCAAGGCTTTAAGATGTAACATGCGTGCACGCGAGGAGGCCTCTTAGAGATATAAATATTGAATGATGCACCTTAATAACAATTTAAGCTTTTAGATGAGGTGATTTTTTAAGAACGACAAGCAATTTTTTTTCGTGTTGTACATTTTTGAAGAAATTTTGGTTCTTATGATGAACATGTATGGTAATTGAATAATTGAACTGAATATTGGGTAGACACATCATACTTTTGGTAGTGGTGGTTGTGGCAATTTACTATTTTAGGTTGGCCAATTTCATATCTGGAGTTCGATTGGGATTAAATTCTTCTTGTACACCTTTCTGTTACCTAGTGTTAGATAAAACCATTAAAAGATTATATGCAAAATTTGCTAACTTCTCTCTCTCTACGTGGTTGCATTGTGAAATAAATGCCAAATGGCAGTCGCCCGGAAGAATCGGGAATTTTAGCATGACTTCTTTGGAATAATCCAGACATCAAGTGAAGGGATCACCTCGTTAGTATGAACTAAGTATTAAACATAAAAGACGAAGGGAACTAGGATGGAGTCGTTTGGAGCAAAAAGTAATTGTTTTAATTCGGTAGTAGTTCTGAAGTAAATATTCACTCGTTGGAATTCAAGCAGTCAAGATCTTCAAGTGATTAAGAGGATGGGCTATATTGAAGTTTGACTTCTTTTTATTCCAGACCTTGGAAATTGCTTTGCCGGTTTAGTGACCTTTGTTTTCACTGATTCTATACAAAATAGATAATGTGAACAAGCTTCTCTTATGGGAGGATATTTTGGCCGCATGATAGACCACTCCATTTAGGTTTCCACAACTTCTGTTCTTCTTATCCACGTAGTCTCTTTTCTTAATACAGGTTCATCTAGTTGTTAAACTTTCACATTTACATGTAGGTAAGTGACATAAAAGCTGGTAATGTTGCAATTTTATGACAGTCTCTGGCTAGAGTTCCTGTCCCCATCTTTAGACAATTATTTATTTAGGAAATACACTTTTTAGTTCTTTCTTAGGTTGTATTGTGGGGACACTTGACCGTCTTCATTACAGATATCTATTTCGATAGCAAATGCACACTGAAGTCTGGAGAGATTTTTCCGGATATTTGTAGTTAACTGGATTGGACTGGCCACCAGTTCCCACTTGAACTGTTCGCTTAGATCCAGTTTTGAAAACAATGATCGTATATACACTGTTTGCATTCCTGTTGGCCCAAGGCGAGCACCAACACGCTTTCTGCACCATCGCTTATGGGCTTCTGTTTAGTTTAGTTATAGTAAGTTATATTTCTTTCAAGAAGGGAGTCTTCTTTGTTATTTTGGGTTGTTTGATGAAAATCTATTCATCAGTCAATATATTGTTAGTTTGCTTAACTTTCTGTATAAATCCATGCCATGCTACTAAATTATATTCAGATCTCTCAGTCCCTTGTTCCTCTTTTCGCAGCACGGTGAGATGGCTGATGAGAGCATTCAACTTAAGACCCTGCAAACTATACTCATAATTTTTCAATCTCGTCTACAGCCTGATAACGAGGTGACATTACGTATTCATAACTCCTTTTATTTATTTGAATATTCAATGTCAGTTTGACTACGTAATATGTCTCTATAAATGATATACCTGAGTTGAGACAGCAGTAAATTTTCTTTGTTAAAATTTTCTGCCGTTGTAGTTTCAATATCTAAAAAATTGATTTGTTGTACCTGGGTTGGTTATGGAAAAGATCGATAAACATTTTTTGCTAATGATTTCTATGAAACATTTAATTTACAAACCTTCAGTAATCTGCTAGACATTTTTGATATATTGTTTTTTTCTGAAGCAGTAGATGTTTAACATTTTCTCATCAATGGAGTATGAGATCGTGAAACAATTTGAGGCAATTACTTTTCTGTACATGTTATTTTGGATTAAAATCCTGATTTTAGTTCGGAGTACTTCGTTTTGCTTACATGGAATCTCATGTCTTTGACAGTTCATAACTCCATGGCATAAGTAGGAATTCCAATATCAAGTTATCTGTGGATTCAGAGACATACATCATTTTCTTCTGATGCAAACTTGATTTGTTGACAAAAAACGAGATTCATCTGTGTAATGAAGGACAACAGAATAATTGAAGAGAGTAACAGTAAATCACGTTCCAATATAAGTTTTAGGGCTTTGGGGGATCTAAACTGGGATAAATATTCAAGAATGTAGTTGGTTGTTTTTTGTTGTACTAGATAAAGTGGAATGTCTCAAATGTCAAGCCGAAGATAAAACTGTACAAAGGGAGCTGGTATTGATGAATAGTTTTTGCCATTTGTGGCATGGTAGCAGTATTATTGCATCTTCCCTTTAGTATCCTGACAAGACCAGTTTGATGTATAAGTTTGTTGACTTCGTCCAAATAACGGATGTGTAACAATGATCTCTTAGTTGGTGGGCTTAAGTTGGGTTCCTTTTCACGTGAACTTGAATTGGAAATAGCTTGTTTTTCTTTGAGGGCGAACATAGCTCATTTAATTTCTTTAATTACATGTTTTAACAAGAAAGCAAAGGATGTCGGCTTTGAGGACATGTCTGAGTATTGAAGTATGTTGTTTCTTTACTTTCCTTATTGGCAGGAGAATATGGCTCATGCTCTTGGTATCTGTATCCGCCTCCTTGAGCACAATAGGTCATCTGACAGTGTGAGAAAGTAAGCAACAATTAATCATGTTTGTACACGTGAAGCCTTTTCTCTCTCCGCCCTTTATCTTCATGTCCGACAATGCTTGACTCGCTAAGTATGTCTTCTTAATTTATTTTGGGATCTTAATCAGTACGGCGGCAGCAACATTCAGGCAAGCAGTAGCGTTGATATTTGATAATGTGGTTTCCGGAGAGTCGCTGCCTGTAGGCAGATTTGGTTCTGGAGGATACATTTCTCGAACAAATTCTGTAACTAGTGATGTCAATCGCAACATAAAACGCCTAGAGTATGTTATATTCGCTCCTTTTGTTTTTAGTTATCACCTAAATTATGTCTAGCTTGTTGACTAAAAACCTTGTAATTAGATGTCATTGTTGAAATTCCCATTATAAAATAAATAAACCATGCACAAGCAGGATGCTGGAGTTGGAAGTTATTTCTGGAGGGCCGTCATTGATGAGGGAAACTCTTACAAAACCTGGGAAACTTGGGCTTTGTTTACTAGAGGACTTGACAACTGTTGCTGCAGGTGGATCTGTATGTGCTAGATTTGAATCGAGATATCGCAATTTTATTGAATCTAAATATTGGTGTCTATTAGATGCATCCAAAAAAATCTCATATTTGTTTGACAAAACTCGTGTCGTGAGTCATAAATTATTTTATTTGTTTGTTTTCATGTTTTCAGGCTATTTGGCTGCGTGTTGGTTCCGTTCAGCGGTCATTTGCACTTGACTTACTTGAGTAAGAAGTTTCAGGCTATTCTTTATTATATTTACCTATGTTATTATGACTGACGATTCGTAAACATAAATCTATGCTCGTTTACTGTGTTTATAAGAGATTTGTGGTTGTATGGGGAATATAATTGTTCTGTTGTAGAAATAAATTCAAATATTGCAATTTATTTTTCAATTGGAAGGTATTAAATAATTTTTTAATTGATAAACAAAAAAACAGTAATAAATAAATACTTTTGTAAAGTAATATCATTCAATATTTTAGACTTAACCTTATTATTACATTTTATAAATATTATCCAATGATTCTATCTAACAATCTCAAAAAATCATGAAATCATCTATCTTCGAACAATTTCTGACTAGTTTGATTTTTAAAGAAGAATCTGTCTCATCTCGTAATACAGACAAACATTACTCGTGAAATAACATCCCTTAAAACAAAATTGAAATATTCCTCGTAAACATAACCATCAGGTTTTATGCATTATATAGTTGCAGTTGGTAGAAATGATTTCTTGAATTATGCTTTACTTTGTTTGACATGTATAATACTAAAACCTAGTCTTGATGGCAATTTTCAGGTTCATATTATCTAATTACGTGGTACTCTTCAGGACCTTGATTCCTTTCCAACAGGTACTGGGGAAAGTATGAAACTAAGTTTGTAACAAATTATGATTTTCTGTACTTTAACTATGCTTGTCTAATAGTTAGTTCTAAACAACAGGTTCTGCGTCACCAAATTTGCTCACTTCTCATGACATCACTACGTACCAACTCAGAGGTGGGTTTTTGTTTAATAAAATGATTTTGCTATGAATGTAATCATGAACAAAATTAACGTCAACCGATATTCTAATACATGTTCTTTCCCTCGCCCAATTGATTATGTTATTAGATTGAAGGTGAGGCAGAAGAGCCTTACTTTCGCCGCTTGGTCTTGCGGTCTGTAGCCCATATAATCCGACTTTACAGTTCGTCACTTATTACTGAATCCGAGGTATTAAGTTTCTTCTTTTTTGATATTATTTTATTTCATTGTTTCTTGAAAACGAAATATTGTATTGTTGGAGATCTCAAATGCGATAACCAGAATCAGAATAAGAGAAGGATTAGGAAATTATCTGTTGGAAAGCTCACATGCTTAGAGAACTGTCAGTCTTCCTATATGCTATAATCACAACAAAAGAAGGATTGGGAGAGTATATATTTCTGTATTACTAATGGAAGAATAACGAGGAAAGTAGAATAAGAAAATGGAAGAGTTCATGTGAAGAAAAAAGATAGATACCCCAAATTTTAGGAGAAATAAATTATGGAATTGCAATTTTTTACTATCTCTAATATCACTCTAAAGCAACTCCAGAGACTCCAATATACACTCTTAAGATTTAATATATTTCATGTCAAGAGAAAATGTGACAATGAAAATTAATTAATACTGGGTAGTGGAACCCCCACAGATTGCTTCTGTTGTTCAGTAAATACAAAAAATACAAAACACTGCCTCTTTGTATCCAAAACCTCGTGAGCAGCATTTGTTTTAATGAAACTTACTATATGAATTTGATTAAAGTACTAACAAGTTTGTTAGAAGGAGGGTAATTGGAGTAGTGGATTTTGCGAGGGGAGACACTAATTGGAGTAGTGATTTTTTGCAAGTTCTGTAGTATTATCTCTCACGCATAGTCTCTGCTGAAAAGAAGAAACTTACCTGATTGAAATGAAAAAATCCATTTTAACAAAATTACCACAGATAATCTAATCATTTTTTTTTCACGGTAAATTAACCTTCATTGCTACTCGATGTTTGTTAACAGTGCCTTATATAATGCGTAATATCACACTATTCATCCATACATCACTTGCTGATCAAGATTTCAACAGAGGAATAAGTTCTCTAGCACAACATAGAAATTATATTATAAATGTTTGCTCATTTGCATAAACTTATTGCTGTTTACATTTATGCATTCTGTGCTAATATGAGACATTTTTTCTTGAGGGTAGGTGTTTCTCAGTATGTTAGTGCGAGTTATAGCTCTTGATCTACCCCTATGGCATCGCATTCTCGTCCTTGAAGTATTGAGGGTAAGGACAACAAAATCAACAAGTACAAAACAAAAGGTTTTTGTTCTGTCTGCATTCTAAAACAAGTGATTGGAACTTATATCTGGGATTTTGCAATTTGACAGGGTTTCTGTGTAGAAGCACGCACCTTGAGGATTCTTTTTCAAAATTTTGACCTGTAAGGACATAATATTAGTGCTTTGATCTCTCTCTTTTATCTGTAAAATTATTTTTCGAAGTCACTATGGAGGATAAGTACATTTTATTCTTGTTTCAGAGAATTTAGAATAGTACCCATGAATAAACTGCAAATACTTGTTCACACTAGCAAGTTTGGATTGCCAGACTGGTTTTCTTACTACAAAGCTGCTGATTCAGAACTTGGGTTAGGTGGCTCAGTGAGAAAGGGAAGGGAGAACGAAATGGTGGCTCAGGGAGCTAAATACATGATAATTCTTGCAAGTATAATATTCCCATAAAAAATAGAGTATACTAGTTCTAAGACCAGTAGTTCTAGCAGCCGACTCGGTTCTTTCAAATTGTTTCTCAATTAACAGATTACCCTGTGTATTCTAGCTGTACAATTTGTAAAACAACTAAGATTAAGTTATTGGTTTTCTTATAATTTTTTAATACTTGCCACTTTTTTCCTTCTATAAAAAATGAAAACTTTTCTTAATTTTATTTATTTTTTATTCTATTTTATATAGATGTAAACTATTTAAATGTCTGTTGCAGGCACCCTAACAACTCAAATGTGGTTGAAGGCATGGTAAAAGCTCTTGCTAGGGTTGTTTCCACTGTACAAGTAAGAGATCTCTTGTTTCATTAATGTATATTTTGTCATACTGCATTGAAGTTCCTATACACTGTTTTCTCTGCCTTTAGGTAAACTAATATTTGCTTCTTCTATAAGCAAGTTAGCTGGACCATTAACTTCTTGCATGTTCTTTTATGGTAGCTTTATTTAGTGGTGCAAAGGAGTCAGGCTGTGGTAAATTTGAAGACTCGAGCTCCTGCTCAATTTCTACATTATTTGCTTGAGCTTGACTAGTCTATTTAGAAAGGCTTAAGAATAAACGCCAAGCATGAGTTTGACTCGTCTATTTTGAAACACTTGAGATCATGCTTGAGCTCGGCTCAGCTCATTGGTTCATTTAAACTTAGCCTAGCTCAGCTCGAGTGCTGCATATATCACCTTAGAGAACCAATAGTCTCTTATAATCCATACTTATATTGCTGGTCTGATTGTCGAACTTTATTCTGTTCAACACCTACTAAACTACATTCACAGACAGGAGTCTATTTCCCCAATACAAATTCATGTTCATCGTAGGGTTCAGTTCCTAAGCTAATATGACCATAGTAACTCAAATTAATTTAACTAGAAAATATTTTAGAAGAAGAAAACTAAAAGAGGGAAGGAAAAGACAGTAACAACCTGCATTTTGTTCCAGACATGCTGAAGTTTCAAAACCTGCCACCATCCATAGTGCACTGGCTGTCACTTTTTTCTCTTTCTTCCTAAATGGTTGCAGCTTCCTGAAGTTTCAAATAAAGGGGTTATCTCATTCGAACTATATCTGCCAAAAGTTGAGCACCACACTGCCATGTATGTGGTTAATTGAATTAAAAATTTAGTATTCTCCTTTACTTCTATTTATCTAAATTAATTCATCCATAAAATTGAGTGAACTGCTTCAGAGTTGCTAATTCTGTTCACTATTACTAAATTAAATTTTAATTGGAACTGTGTTTGAGCTGGAGATCTCGGTTGCAATAGAGAATTAGAAATGGAAGTTGTGGCAGAACCGCTGTCAGGATTGGGGTTTATAAAAGCTATAATTTGAGCTGATCTGATTAGGACATAATTCATTGACAATTATAATGAGCTAACTAATGACTGAACTAAATGAAGCCGAGAGAATTGCATGTGATAGCAGCAGTGCTTGACAACTGCGAGGAGTAGTAGTCGAAACATTTATAGACCAATATTTATGTAAATAATATTGTACTGATGCATGTATTTATTCCAGTGATTAAGTTCTTTGCTAAATCCATTTCATATCACGCTCAGGATTACAAGTCATGTGCATTTTTTGAAGAATGTAGACAATCAATCATAGATCTTGATTGACATTGAATCTGTAATTCTTTATATACACGAACTGCTAGACATGTTTGATTTGCAACCAAGATATCTTTTCTGTATCGCATGAATTAAAACATAAAACAGAGTAAAACTGGACATGCACAAGCAACAATGTTTAAGTCTTGCTAATTATCTTGTACCACCGTGAGCAAAAGTATGGTTTGACGTTAATTAGTTGTCACTTTGGAATTTTGTAGTGGGTAGTTTGGTGAATTTTATTTCTAACAAGCACCTCCAAAATCACTATTATCGCTACACCGTTGTATATCAAATAAGATATTGCCTAATTGAGCATGCATCAAATGTACAAGTAAATCTTAATCATTACTTCCTTTCTCAATGCTTCTATAATTTGGGCATGTAAGACCAGTGGCTTAGAGATGTATTTCATGATTAATGTTTCTGTAGCTGCCATATCCTATAGCCATGTACAATCTGGAAACATCATAAATGTAAATATAACTCTTAACATGATCGGTTGATATTTGCTTGGTATAGAATGAATAGAAATGTTTATATAAGAGTAATTACATCACCAATCTAATTGCTTTATTGGTCAGTACATTAACTTGAAGTTTAAGGCGTCTTCATGCATCTTATTAAGTTACCTTTCATCTGTTATGACAAGGGCCTTGGTATTTTTGTTGGTCAAATTGCTTTTAAAGGGCTTTAAGTCTTAAAGCTCTTCTTCAAAATTAATCCCATTTTGCATATTCTTATATATCTGAGTTTTGCTTTTTTGTTCATCTGCTATGCTGCTTTTGTTTTCCTTCTCAATATCAACGAAATCACTGTAGTACCTAGAAACTGGTGAGGAGAGCCTTGCAGCTGTTGCTGGAATGTTTAGCAGTAAAGCGAAAGGTAAAATATGCCATTAATTTGGATATTTAAGTTTATAATCTGATTTCATTGCATCTTTATTGATGCCTGTACCTGATCCTGAAGTTCTTCTCAACTTGACCACTGCATCCATATTTTTTTCAGTTAAATTATGTAATAGTGAATCACATTAGGTTTTGTAGTTACCATTTATGTGTATTGCATCCTGAAGATCACGAGCTGATGGGTAGACAAGTAGAATTGGGCTTAATGGAAACTAGAGCATCATTTGGAATCTGCATTATATCTATTTATGGTTGAATTATGTGACTTGAGTATTACTGTCCGTCCCTCTTGTGTCTGTGCAGCTATAGGTATATAATGTCAACAGATAGTACTATTACCTTTTCTGGAATAAATTATGGTTGACGTCGTTGCACTGTCTGTTACAAAAGAGCTAGATCCTTGACTTGCTTTGGTTTAGGCTTTAGCTGTTACGTTTGATAAGTTAGTAAGATGGTTAACATACCTCTTGATATGGACAACAATCATTGGATTGATCCTTCATGTAAAATGTAATGACAATTTGCTTTCTATTTGATTAAGAAGTGTTTAAATAATTGGGACAAATACTTCAAGTAATACATTTACTTATGATTCTTGGCTGACTGTGGTATTACTCTTAAAGATTGATGTTTGGAGATATGCTATCCATTTTTTAGTTAATTTTCAGTTTCTGTTTTTTTTTTAAAGTTATTAATTAATTAATTTAATTGCAAGTTGCAGTTTCAGAAGACATGTGGGTTTTGTTTTTGTTTCAGGTATTGAGTGGAGTTTAGATACTGACGCATCAAATGCTACTGTCTTGGTTGCAAGTGAAGCACATGCCATCACTTTGGCAATTGAGGGTCTGTTGGGAGTTGTTTTTGCTGTTGCCACTTTGACAGATGAGGCCGTCGATGACGGTGAGGTGAGATAAAGTTGATGTGCAGTTCAGTTCTCCTGGTTGCTTTAGGTTATATGTTTATGACCCTGTTTCTTTCTATGTTGTACTTCATCGTGGAGCAATCAGCTTGAGTCCCCAAGATGTGATACTGATCCAGCTACAAAATGTACTGGGATAACTGCAACCCTTTGTGTGTCAATTGTTGATTCGACATGGTTGACAATACTAGATGCTTTGTCCCTGATTCTGATGAAGTAGGTTGAAAGTATTTTCTAATGTCATATTATTCTGAAGTAATCAAAATTTGTGCTTCATGACGTTTTGTTTATCGTAGGTCACAGGGCGAGGCTATAATATTGGAGATATTGAAAGGTTACCAAGCATTTACACAGGTAATTATATTTTTAGTAAGATGTTATGCTTTGATTGGAAAGATTTTGGGAATGATTGTCCATGTTATTTTGGCAGTTGAAGCGTTTGAGAAATTTTTTTTGTAAAAGAACTAATGTTTGTTTGTAGATGTAGATTGGGGGAGAGATCATACTGTAGCAATCGTTTGAAATGCTTGGATAAGTAATGGTTGACGGAATACTAAGTTATTTTTATATTATTTAATGATTGGATGAGATGTATAGTATATATATTTATATCATTATTAAATGATGAAGTTGAGTAATTGAATTATTTAAGTTATAATGTGATTTATATATTATGATACTTAATTGAATGTAAAATAATGATGCTTAGTGACAAAAACTAATGATACATAGTATTAAGCTATCCAAATTACAAGAATGGAAAAAGGCGTGATGATAGTTCTGAGCTATATAAATTATTTATTTTATATTTTGTTGTCGGGCATTATTTCTCCCTTGGGGAAATGATGCATTGGGCTGGGTAAGTGGTGAGACAGTCTGCAGGGGCAGTTTTTTGGGCAAAAAAAGTTAGGCTTTTAAAATGCAAGTTCCGAGAATCAAGTGGAAAGAAAGACAAGCACTCTACTCTACCGGGTTGGTAGAAGAAGTGAGTTTCGAAAACAAATCAAACATAACCTATATTATAGCTCTTGTTCTGTGGTACATACAGATTCTAAGTCTATTTTCTATTTTCATAACAAAATCCTAAGGCGACCTCATGCTGTATGAGTTCTCCAGTCATACCCTGCCTAATGTTTTCTGAGAAATAGGTGCTACCTGCTTGTTAAGCTATTCTGTGCGATGTCATACAACGATGTGCTGAATGTTACTCTTTCTTTACAGGCATGTGGCGTTATTCGTGCTGTAGAACCTTTAAATTCTTTTCTTGCTTCGCTTTGCAAGTTCACAATATATATTCCCAATGAAGCTGAAAAGAGGAGGTATGTTTGTGATACAATTCCTAGGCTTTCATTGCATAAATTTTGTGTTAACTTACTGCTAAGAGGAGATTCCAGGAGCACCTACATTTTGTGTGCTTCTAGTTAATACAGGATATACAGACGTAGACTAGAGCATTAGCCATTACTTTTTCATCCTTACAAAAAAATACATAGAATCTTATGCTTGATGTCTGTTCATATTCTCAACAAAGGAAGCAGCTTAATGTTACGATCTTGAAAGTAATTTCAAGAATTCTGTAACGTAGCTAGTAAACAAAGGAAGCTATCTTTACAACTGATGTGAAAATAACATCCTTTTCAAATAGATGTATAATTAGATTTTCTGTTTTACGAAGCTGCTCTATGAATATTGTGTCAGATACTTTTTGCTACTACTTATAACCCTGCAGAGAGAGAGATCATCTCTTCCTGTATTTCGTTTAAATGATGATAATCTTTATTATGCATCCAAATGAGAAGTGTGAGATATTATGTCATGTCTACTTTGCTTTACCTACAACGAATTTTGTTTATAAAGATGCAGTTGAATAAGTAGCTTGTTAACGTCTTATGTGCAGTGTAATGATGTCTCCTAGTTCAAAGCGGGCTGAGCAATTAGTTGACCAGAGGGAAGGCATTGTTCTTACTCCTAAAAACGTGCAGGTTTCTTTTGTTGTTTGTTCTTTCATAGTTTTAAACTTGTTCTGGATCAGTTCTACTATATTTGTAGCTTAGAAATTCCATTCGCCATTATTATTTTCTAAACAATTCATGGTTATCTGGCAATATTTGCATATAAAGGCTCTGCGGACTCTCTTCAACATAGCTCATAGATTACAGAATGTACTGGGTCCTTCATGGGTTTTGGTAGGTTATTTTTTTATAATAAACATACAGCGTAACTGAATTTTGGATTCTAATATCTTTTTTGCTGTACAATTTTGAGGTTTTGGAAACACTATCTGCTCTTGACCGAGCAATTCATTCTCCGCATGCAACAGCACAGGTAATATGGAGTTTCTATTGTATATATTAAGGTCAAATTTCTAGTTAATAATAGAATGTGAAGTAGTTCAAGATTTCTTCCCGAATTCCCTTGCAGCCACTACCATTTTGTTGAGATTGTTGCCTGTTTTTTAAATTGTTGATTGACCTCTTTGGAAGCCAAATTTTTGCTCTACCACAAGATACTATAAAGATTCAACTATGAAATTCAGCTTCGTTTCCAGCTTCCGTAGACCAACCCTGGCTGTGAGCCATCTACCTTGTAACAAATTGAGTTTCTTCTCCCTTTGTCTATTGGATTATCCAATCTATACCCTTAGGCACATTATGAGACACTATATTCCCCTCTCCTCTCTGATATTAGATTGTTGCTGGTAAGATGAGATTGGTCATTATTTGTAATGTTGATCTTTGGATCATGCCTAGCACTCGCTGATTGAGTTACATGAGAAATCAGGCCTGCCTCTTGGATTAATATACTTATGTCTGCCTCTTGGTAATATAAAGTATGTATCCCATCACCTGGTGCAAATTAAATTTAACCTTTGTTTCTTGAAAGGAGCACAAAACGCTTCCAATCTTGCACTCTATGGTATTGGAACATTGTCAACATGTGTTTCTTCATGCTTAAATTTTGACAGAGATGTGTCTTCCTTCATGCTCAGGATTACCTCTGAATTCATCACTCTTCAGTCGATGAAACCGATTAAAATGCCTACCATGATAGCAATAATGGCTAAATAGGATTTAACTTGATTAATAACTCTGGCTACATGTTTGCCTTCTTCTCGTCTTTACTTTGGGAATTCTTGTTGCTTCCCGGGCATCAAATCAACAATTATTTCATCTAACAAATTACTGTTGAATTACACTTTCAGCTGCATCAACTTGTTGCATTTATTGTGACTTGTTTAATATATATCAGTCATCACAATCATTTGTAGTGTTTTATGTAGTAAATGAATTCACTTTTAATCATCGAAGCTTTATAGTTGTCACAGTTTAGATACTAAATTGTTTTCAAACTAGTTTCATTTAGCCTCAGTAAAGTTCTCTTTGCTGGTGGATGGCCATTCATCAAATTTGGGTCTTTTAACTTTGTAGGAGGTTTCCACAGCTGTCCCGAAGCTAACTAAAGACTCATCTGGACAATATAGTGATTTTAATATTCTCTCTTCACTGAATTCTCAGGTAAGTTTGTCATTTGTTCTTTTTTCCCCATCAATAGCCTGGATACATTATATTGACTGAGCACATCTGTGGCTGCCTTCTTGTTCTACAACCTTGTATAGCTTTTTGAGAGCTCGGCTTTGATGCATGTGTCAGCCGTTCAATCGCTTCTTTCTGCTCTACGTCAGTTGTCGTGTCAATGTATGGCAGCAACTTTGAGTAGCAATGGGCAGACATCAAATCACAAACTCGGAAGCATTAGTTTTTCAGTGGACAGAATACTATTGATCCTCACCAATAATCTTCACAGTATGTTCATAAATTCAGTTTTGTCAAGATAATGCGATTCCTTCATCTTTCATCGCTCTTATATTAGGGTAGTACCAAACTAAGATGAAATTCCACATGTTATACTTCTGTATTTCACTAATCTTGTATAAAGACTGTTTTAACAAGATACTTTTGTAATTCATATTCACTTGAGTAATTACCCTATTTACCTAATTATATTGGTAGAATAATGTTTTTTTTTTTTTGTTATTTGTAACACCTGGGGTAGAAACTAGAACACCAAGTGGAAAATGCTAGGCTGAAATTTGGTTTGCCTAAGAATCTTAAAGGCGTTGCCTATGATTTTTTAAATTTTATTTTCCCCTTTTTCATTTAAATAGAAGCAATGCCACAGTGAAGGAAATTTCTATTCAAATAGTAAGTTAGAGTTCATCAATTAGAATTAGATTAAGACGCATGTTTCAGTTTAAAGTTAGAATGGACTTCAAAACATTTTGTAGCTTGTACTCAGCGTTGCTCTTAGGGTATGACTGATGAGAATCTTACAATCTTGGCACATCATGGTTTGACCAACTCGATCGTTATATACTTTTTACTCTTTGACAGGGGTGGAACCATTATGGGGTGATATAGTTGGTCATTTCCTTGAGGTAATCTTTTTATCAATCTTTTGATCAAATGTGCACCTGCAACCTTCGTAACATCTGCAACATGCTTTGCAGCTTGCTGATAGTCCCAACCCACAACTGCAAACTATGGCCCTTGATGCATTGGATAAATCCATTTGTGCTGTCTTAGGCTCTAATCAGTTTCAGGAGAATGCATTGTCAAGCTCTGTTGATGCATCAAACAATGTATGAATTTTACCTCTATCCTCTGTGTCTTTTCTCTTTCGGATTGTTTTGTGGTTGTATTTGACACAATTTCATTGAAATCCTCTGGAAGCTAATTGGCGCATCAAAGTTAAGATCACTGGAATGTGCTGTCATATCTCCTTTAAATGATCTATATTCTTTATCACAAAGTTCTGAAGTTCGTGCTGCATCTCTGAAGATTCTTCTTCATGTTTTGGAGGTAAATATCAACCATGCATTTGATAAGGATTTCCCTCTATCTTGGTTCACTATCCATTTCTTGGTCTAACTGATCGACTTGTAGAGGCATGGGGAGAAGTTACACTACAGTTGGCCAAATATTCTTGAAATGTTAAGGTGCTTATTTACTTCTGATCCCATTATCTGATGATTTAAACTACTCATTACTGTAACGTTTGTATAATACTGTCTGGTTCCAGGTCTGTAGCCCATGCATCAGAAAAAGATCTCATTGCACTTGGATTCCAGGTTAGAAGCAAATTATAAAGCATTGATGCTAATTTTTAGACTTTAAAAACTGTTATCTGATAATTAAATATTTTCGGCCAATTCGCGAACAACTATGCAAATTTATATTGAAATTTTCATTGTTAGTTTTCCAAATATTTAAGAATTAGAGACCTAGAGTTGATCACAAACTCATGATATTTGATGCAAGGTACCAAGTCATGATTTCTGCAATTATTTCAGTAGGTGCTGTTTGCCCTTAGTCAGGCTGTATCTGGATATTGTCTGGCAACAAGATATAAATGTATCATAAATGCTCAAATAGTTTTGAATGAATTAATGAAGTAATTAAATATAATTAGCCCAAACTGCTAATTTTTACTGAACAACAAAAGTTATTTGCATAACTTCTTTAAATTGTTCTCCATGAAAATGACTTATACGATATGAACTCTTTCTCATCACACATTTCCAAAATTATGCTCTAAAGTGTTACTAGAGGAAGAGATAGCAGAATTGACGTGCAATTACTAAATGACTTTCATGAAATCTATAATTGGTCATAAATTCCTAGATGCTATTTAATAAGAAGTTGGGAGCTGCACTGTATTTTTGTCTTGTATGGGCAAGTACTGACTCAATACAGCAAAGCAAACGATTAAAAGGGTACATCGTATAACTACATAACTGATGCGTGCAGGACAGCATCTGATTATTTGTGGAGAGATTCATTTAAACTGATCTAACATTTTCAATATACCTCTGTTTAACTTTATGCTCCTCTCCTGTGTTTTAGCAAACCAATTAAGTGAAGTGATCGTTTTTTTGTATATAATGGCACTCTTTCTCATATGCATCAAAGAAGTTTCCCATTTTACATTGATAAGTGCCAGTGATACCTCTCAATAATACCATGAGAAGATTGATAGTATGGTGATATTGGTTTAGACAATTTATGCACAATACATGTGTGCTGGATTAACCATAGAAATAATGTGATTTTCCTGGATCAATCATTCAATAACTTTGATGATGTGATGAATATCAGATTTTGTGATGCTTAGTTCTTGTGGTCTATCAAGTCTAGCTGACAGATGCATTTAATGATTTGTATCACGTATACTCTAGGGTTTAGTATGTTTCTTTAAAATCTAATTTTTTATGTTTAACCTAGATGCTCAAACCATATTCCTGATTTGTGTCTCAAATTGAAACTAAAATAGTCTTTCTTCTGTCTAGAGCCTCCGTGTGATAATGAATGATGGGCTGCCCAATATACCTGCTCACTGCCTCCATGAGTAAGCTTTTTTTCATCCTCTGTTCAGATTTCCGTTTCATTTGCTTGGTAGCTATTTAGTGATGGATATCGTTGTACTTGCAATCTCATTCGTTGATGGGGGTGGAGATTCTGAGAAAGATACTTACAACTACTTTTACAAACAATTTTCCATGGATCCTTCCTAGCTGGGGGAACAGGGTAGTCATGCTTAACCATGGGATCATGACAATTGCATTTCATATTTTAGAAGGGCTCATCACAAACTGGTCCTTTGCTTTCGCTTTGTCACTGAATATCACCTCAGCACTTGTTTAGACACGCCTAATCAGTCTTGTCTTGCAGATGTATTGATGTAGCTGGGGCATACAGTGCTCAGAAGACTGAGTTGAATATAAGTCTTACAGCTGTAGGTCTATTATGGACCGCTATTGACTTCATTGTGAAAACGATTATGCAGAGGACTCAAGAAGAACTTGAAACAGGTTCAGCTTCTTCAATTGAACTTGGGGTATCTTAGTTTCCGTATATATTAGTTTCTGAGGAAAAATATTGCTTGATTTGGTTTGCAGATCTTAGAGATCATGAAACAAGGGAAGAGCCAACTGATTCTCATGATAAAGTTACTAATGTCACATTCTCTTCAGATACTGTTCAACGTGACAGACTGCTTGTTTCTGTTTTCTCTTTGCTTCATAAGCTGGGAGCTGATGAGAGACCAGAGGTAATTCAGATAATTATTACAAGATGAAACTGCAGTAACTAATTTTCAAATGTTCTACCGAGACATTAGGAAACCATCTTCTATATATAAAAAAAGAGATACTTGTTCCATTGATGTGCTTTCTTAACAATTGATAATGTGGCTTCAGTTCTTACTGCTGGAACATGTCTCATCTCTTGCATATATTCTTAATTTCATTCCAGAAGCACATCTTACAGTTGATGTATGTTTCATGTCATCCTAATTGTTCCGTTTATGTAACTTTGCTTGTGAGATGTGCAAATGTACTCACCATATAGCTGCAGTTGAGATTGAGGGACCAGTTCCCTGTGGTACTTACTATACGGCAAGTTGGTATAAAACTTCAATGAGGTTATCTAGGTTTTGTCATAAGTCCTTGAGAATCAGATGTGTATGTCTTCAATTCTACTAGTATATTCCATCACAGTTGGTTTTACTTTATTTCATCTCACAATATATTTCTTATGACTTGATTGTTTGTTTTCCTATTTTATATGATAATTCATAATAAACCTTTTCCTACAAAATTTTGTTGGTTGATACATCAATACCACCAGCAACAGTATTACTTATTGTTAAGTGTCTTCTGGTAGCGTTAAAGAGCTATTTGCTTCATCTTCATTTGTTTTTTACCTTATCCTCTGGGCAAGAAATTATTTTTGTGATTGCTCCATTAATGCTAGATGGTTATGTGTGCTGGCTACAACTGAAAGTCTGAAAATCTATGTTTAGGTTAGGAACTCAGCAATAAGGATGCTTTTTCAAACACTTGGAAGTCATGGACAGAAACTTTCAGAAAGGATGTGGGAAGATTGTCTTTGGAATTATGTTTTCCCTACATTAGACCATGCATCTCACTTGGTAAGCTCCACGTCTCTTGGATGTACACGAATCTTCCTATTTATTGTTCTTGACTGAGAAAGGTTCCTGCTTTAGGCTGCAACCTCGTCAAAAGATGAATGGCAAGGTAAAGAACTTGGAACTCGCAAGGGAATAGCAGTTCATATGCTTATACATCACAGGTATGCTGGAATTTTGCTTGCTTTAACCCAATTATGTCAATTTGCCTTCTGTATCATTTCATAACACAACCCATCATCTTGATAAACAATTTGGCAGTCGCAATACAGCTCAAAAGCAATGGGATGAGACACTTGCGCTGGTACTGGGTGGAATTGCTCGGATTTTAAGATCTTCATTTCCGTTTCTTAGAAGCTTAAGAAACTTCCAGTCTGGTCCGCTTTAATTTATTGTTTCTCATTTTCTTACTTATATTATTTAGAGTTCAAAACTGTCAAAGATTTCATCTGTATTTCAGGCTGGGAGTCATTGCTTGTCTTTGTCAAGAATAGCATTTTAAATGGTAGTAAAGAAGTTGCGCTTGCAGCAATAAATTGCCTACAATCAACTGTGGTTTCTCATTCTTCAAAGGTAATAACCTAATTCATTGTTGTTTGGGCTGCCCTTTTCTTGTAATTATGCCTTCTCAACTACAGTGTTGCCTTATGTTTTATTGCTTATATCACTTGGAAGGGTTTATTTGTTCTCATTTTCCTTCCTTTCCAATCAGGGGAATCTTCCTATAACATACATTAAGTCGGTACTTGATATTTATGAGGATGTTCTTCAAAAATCAGAGAACAGTAGTGATCATGTCACAGGCAAGGTGAAGCAGGAGATCTTACATGGTCTTGGTACTAAATCAATACCTCATCCCTTTCGTTACTTAATTTAGTATGTAATGAATGCTGTTTTATGGTTGCTATCTACAGTTAGATTGAGATCATCCTCAAAGTGGCGCCTCATGTTCAATGTGGTACTGATATATGTTTGACATTCTTCTACATTTTGGCAGGAGAACTATATTCGCAGGCTCAAGGGATGTTTGACAATGACATGTACAAAAAGTTGATATTGGTTGTAGATTCGACAATTAGAGAAGCCAAGATCACCAATATTACCTTTGAAGCAGATTATGTAAATATTACCTTTTCATGACATCGTATCCTTGTCGTCCCTCTCTTCTTATCGCAAACACTCCTCTCGTGTTTTTTGTTTTTTTGGGAAAAATCTGTTGGCAATTCCTTTATATGTTGCTCACAGAAGTTACATAACATGGTTATTTGACTTGGTGCTGAATAGGAAATGCTTATAAAAACATTGGGAAGCACTGTAGAACCTAGAACTCTTTTATCGTTAATATGTTCAAACAAATAACATGCATGTTTTGTCCTATAGGGTCATGTACCACCTGTGCAACGGACCATACTCGAAATCTTACCACTATTACGTCCAGCAGCGCACCTTAGTTCAATGTGGATTCTCCTCCTTGTGACTTTATTGCATTATCTTCCAGCAGACGATCCCGCAGACGACAAAGAAGATGATCGTGAGGGAGTTCGTAATAGTAATCATAGTAAGGCCTGCTATCTACCTTGATTGTCTACTTAAAAAATATTTAGAATCTGATATGATTATTATGACATAGCTGACCTGCTTATGTCAATTTCTTTAACAGCCCACAACAATGGTGAAGGGTTAATCCTCAACAACACGAATTCTCTGTTTGCTGAGAAGCTTGTTCCTGTGCTAGTTGATCTCTTCCTGCAAGCTCCAGTTGAGGAAAAATACAATGTTTTTCCAAATTTAATTCGAAGTCTAGGAAGGTGAGAGCATTTGTTTCAAGTGTTTCTTTAGCTATTGTTGTTGAGAAATGACTTGGTTTGGATAAGATAAATCGAGATCTATGATCGCTTTTTGCATGTTCTCGAAAATTGAAGTAGCTATACAATTTGGTAACACAAAAAGGCAAATGCTCCTCTCTAATATGAATAGCAAATTAACAATCATATGGCCGATCGCTGTGGGTATAATGTAGATACATGTGACCAAGTTACTGTTATTTATTTTCCTGTTTTTTTATGAAGCTCATCAATATTTCATAATAAATGATTTGCTGGAATGGGATCTTTTAGTGAATGTATCACAGCTTACAGCTACGGGCCAACTTATCCCAATCATGCTTTTTTGTTAGTTATAGCAAATTGCAGAACCTGATATAGAAGGGGAAAAGGGGAAATGGAGAACCATGGAATGGATTTTCGCAAGTTCTGGCAAACCCCATGCACACACACACACACACACAGAGGAGGCAGCAGGGGTGGGTGGGGGGGGGGGGGGGTGGTGGGTGGTACTCTCTGTGTCCTCATTATGAAAACAATATTTCCACCTGACATTGTATCTTTCTAATTCGTCATTTCTCTTCCAAGGGAGTCGAGCGTTTTGCCAGTAGCATGCAATGGTCATTCATGGATATTGACTCCTTATTTATAACTGATGGTTGATTCTTGAATCTATAACTGTCATTCTAATTTGTTTCGACCATGTAATTTGGGATTTTCTTTGGTTCATCTTTTAGGTGTATGACAACAAGAAGGGACGACCCTGATGGCACACTTTGGAGATTAGCTGTTGAGGGCTTTCACCGTATTTTGATTGCTGATGTTAGAAAACTGAAACCAGCATCTGGAACTGATCTAACCAATACCAGATCTTCAAGAATACAAGTGTGGAAAGAAGTGGCTGATGTTTATGACTTATTTTTAGTGGGGCACTGTGGTCGTGCTCTGCCTTCCAATGCGCTATCAGCAACAGCACATCAGACCACCGAGTCTCTTGAGATGAAAATCTTAGATGTTCTGGGCGATGAGATTCTTCGATCTGATACTGATATACCTCTTGATGTAACTTCCATCTATCTGATTATTACTCCATATTTTCTTGGATACTTATGGTTTGTCACATGAAAATTGTTAATTGTTATACTTTTCTATGGATATCACGTTGTTTATAGGACCTAGAAGAAAAAAAATAATGCCAGATGTACATTGAGCTCTCATGCACATTCTTCTGTGTGTGGTTGCCACAGTAGATCCCTATCACTGAAGTTGGTATAGTCTCTTGATTTACTGGTGGTGAGGACATGTGAACATATAATAATGGTTGTAAGCATGATTTAGCAATCTGAAGATTTTCTTGTACAGGCAGCCTGAATTGGTGGTTATACTTTTTCTCATACACTTCCGTGAACATTAGAATTTTTACTGAATACGTATTTCATGAAACTGATTTATATTTGCTTTTGCTGCTTCAGAAGCATATTCCACTGAATGAAAATTAGAAACTTCTCCCATATTTTATTCTGCACTGTTTTTGACGAGTTTTTTGTATTCTGATACAAGTAACAAAATGGCTGTATTCACAGATTCTACAAAGACTGATTTCCACCCTCGATCGATGCGCATCACGGACTTGTTGTTTGCCTCTTGAAACTGTTGAGCTTATGCCTTCACACTGCAGCAGATTCTCGTTGACATGCTTGAAGAAGATATTTTCCTTGAGCAGGTAATTTGAAACCTAGGGTAAAATTTAAATTGCTATACAGTCTCATGAATGATTATTTTTTGTTCAAATCTCACGATGAAGATCTTACTTGCAGCTATGAGATGGGCGATTGGAATTTGTCTAGATCTGAAGTTAGCAAAATATCAATTATGACGCTGATGTCGAGATGTGACTTCATATTAGGAAAATTCTTGACAGATGAGAATGACTTGGGTTCGTAACAGGACGACTTCTCTCTTTACGCTTTCTACTTCTTCGGGTTGTAGTTTGAATTACTGCACTCCATGCGCAGGTGTTCGTTCCTTGCCTCCAGCAAGAGTGGAAGAAGTCACATTTGTACTTCAGGAGCTTGACCGTCTTGTAATTCATCCAGAAACAGCATTGGCTCTTCCTTTACATACTCACTTGAAGGAGGGCGTGTCTAAGGAGACTATGAAAAGACGTTCCCATTTGCTGCTTCTTTTTCCATCACTATGTGAACTTGTTATGTCAAGGTAACAAGGCTATTTTACTTAATAATTTAATTTTGTAATTTGTGCAGTTTCCCCTGCGTGATAACATTTTCTTTCGGTAAGGATACATTTACCTTTACTGAATCTAACTAAATACAAACAAATGGCAATAACTTGAAGATAAGGACGAAAAGTATGAATATTCACGATCATTTTCAGTAGGGCATACGACCTTTAACCTGTTTGGTGCTGCTGTTAGACGTCAATGCCTTTTGCTTTTAGGAGAATGGTTTGCCTTGAGGAATATTCATTGTGTCTTATATTACATATATTTTCTTAAATGATGCACATAGCTTTTCTTCATCTTTTGTTTGTTTGTTTGTTATGAGTCACCGCCAAAGAATCACTTTTTCTAGCAATTCCATTTGTACTTGTGTTTGTACAATCCGGTGTATTTGTAGACCTACCATTGGAACACATTTATTTTGAGTAGCCAACGAAATTTTGAGAGGTGATATGAAAATAATTCTCTTTATAAAATCTCGTGATGTCTCTTTTGACAGGGAATCAAAGGTTAGAGAGCTGGTACAAGTATTACTTCGACTCATTGCAGCGGAATTGGGCTTACAAAAGCTCTCGACTTAAAGCAGTTAAAGTTGAAGACCTTTGTAAAAAAAGACCAACTCCTGTTTGTTCATACGAGTCGTCCATCCGGACATGTAGAGGTTGTAGGTTGACTGATGAGGATTTTTTTTTTTCTCCCTCATTAGATTTTACATGTATCAAAATAGAATAATGGTACTTGCTGGATATTATTTCCTCCGGTTGTATTATGTGAAAAAAAAAAAACAATATTTTGTTTTTACTTTATTATCACTGATAACATTTTCTACATGATTCTCAAAGTAGAACGTTTTTTTCTTGACATACAACTCCTCAGTTGAGATAGTATAAGGAAAAAATAGTAGGTTTGTTAAGAAACTTGCTCTTTCTTTTGTTTAGTCCGGTGAACTGCTGATGCAACTGTTGATGCTGCAGCCGTAGGGGATAGGCTTTGGTCAAGGGCTGTTTTTGGTATGAAGTACGTTGACCAAAACCAAATATTAGTCCGTTAGGATACATATTTGATGGAAGAATCTGGGTAAGAATTTTAAACAACTATATATAAATGGGGTTCATTGAGAAAACATCCTCTAGCCTTATATTAATAGAGAGAAACATAATTCATATTTCACTATTTGAGATAAATCTTAGTCCTTTCACCTTCTCTCTAATTTCAAAATTGCCCTTTTACTATCTTCTTTCCACTACTTCCATCCTCATTTTCGTTTTTCCTTTTAATTTTTTTTTTGTTTTTACTATTATTATTATATTATTATTATTAGTTCGTTTTATTTGTAAAAAAAATTCTCGCTATTAGGTGTATTAACCGACTATCAACTAAGGCATAGTTGATTAAGCCTTAACCGACTACTGAAACATATTCAATTAAACCTTAATTGACTACTGAAACGTAGTCGATTATAGATCCAACCTCCGCAAATTTCTTCCGTGAGCGCCCTCCTCCGTTCAATATACCCAAAGAACCCTAGAAATGTTACCAATTGTCCCCACACCACACCATCACCATCTCCATACCATCAACGCATTCCGCCTCGCCACGTCCCCCTCCAACATCGACCACCTGCCCTCTCACACTGCCGCCACCACCACCCGTAGTTGCTCCTGCTCATCCTCAAATGGAACGGCGCATACCAATCCCGTTCTTCATCTCCGTCGTCGTCCCCAGTAGCCCTCTCCGCGACGTTTCCTGGAGAAGGAGAAGAGCGTCGTTCTAACGGTCGACGACTCTTGTTCTTCATCTCCAGATTGAGTAAGAAGAAACTAGAGATTTGGGTAGGAAATAGAAAAGAGAAAAAAAATAGTAGAGAAGAAATACTGAAAAGGAGAAGAGATAAATAAAAATGAGATTATGGTCCTTGAAAGGTACATTAGACAATTAAATTTCGGAAGAGAATTTTTTTTTTTTTTTTTTTTTTTTTTTTTTTTTTTTATCGGTAAATGTGAAATATATAGATCAAAACGGACTTTACAAATACACTGGGCATACCCAGGCAGTGTAATCAAAAAAATATATATCAATGCCTATACATGAACAAGACCCCACAGGTCAAGTGCAAACCAAAGATCAAAAAGGGTCAAGTGCAAACCAAAGATCAAAAAACAATCAGGGATGCACGATTTGCAAAGCTGATTGCGGAAACAAGGCAAAAACCGTCTTGTAAACGAGTATCTTGATCTTACGCACCATCTCAGTAATCCTAGGCGTCTCGTTCTCAAAAATTTTCCGATTGCGAGCACTCCAAATCTGATAAACGGTGCAAGCAAGGGCCACCTTCTTCGCTTTTTGCCGCCAACATGAGCCACGAGCCTCCTTCTTCAGCCATTTCAAAGCACTCTTGAGCGTAGTTGCAGCCCGAGGGAAGCCCATCCATTCCCGAATAATGCTCCAAATGTTGTAAGTAAACGTGCATCCGAAAAACAAATGCACCACAGTTTCAGGCTCCGTACAAAAAATGCACGACTTTTCAACCTCTACGTGCTTGATTCGATTCCTGGTCTTGAGCTGTTTTGAAGGGAAATGAGTTATGAGAGTCTACCTTACATGACTTTTTCAAATGAAGGGGATCTTACTAATTTTTCCCTATATGAGTTGGGGGTTGTTCAAATTGAGGAGTATGAATTTGAATTTTTGTTCTAGAATCACTACATTCATATAGGCTTTATCAGTAAATTTTTAAAATCTCTAAATATAGAAGGCCCCGGCTATATGCAATACTAATTTTAATCGTGCAAGACCAAATTCATTTTTTCAATGTATAAATACTATAATACCCTTACTTGTTAAAAAAAATAGAGAAATCCAAATGTGCAAATACCAAAAACTCAAAACCACAAAAAACCCTATCACAAAACCACAAGACTAACTCTCATCTTCTCCATCTTCCAAAACCCCCAAAACCTTTCTCCTTCCTCCTCCATAAATCCCCAAAACCTAAACATTCAAAAAACTCAAAACTCAACAAATCTTACAAAGATGGCAAGTATGAAGTCAGAAGCAATGTTTTTAAAACCGGACCGGACATTGACCCGGCTAGCCAACTGGGTCACGGTTGGACCGTTCAACCGAGGTTCAACCAGGTTTTTGAATATTTTTATTTTAATATTATTTATATTTAATTTAATATAAAAATATTGTAAAAATAAATTAAAAAAGCCTACTAATTATTAAAAATCAACCTAAATATTCAATTCAACTAATTATCCAGCAATAAATATTAAATACTGAAGACCAAAAATACAAATGTACATAAACAACACATTCCATAATTTAAATTAAAAAAAAAAAACTAATTAAAAAAGTGAAAGAATGAGACAGTGAAAAAAAGTCAAAAAATTAATTGAACAAAAAAAATGAGTAATACAAATAAAAAGAAAAATTTCTGACAGTACCCACTCTCCAAGCTCCCTCTCTATCTCTCCTCTCCTTTCTCTCTCTATATCTCTTCTTCTTCCTTCTTACAACCACAACCACCCAGTTCCACTGCAACTTATTTCTTCTTCTTTTCTTCCGATAGCTACAGTCCAAGATTCATCCCAGCCCCTATATCAGGCCACCTCCGAAATCACAGCTTCTCTTTTTGTCATACTTATTCTTTTATTTTCTCCCCTTTCCGAACATCTCCATCAAGATTCATCTCACCCACTGCCTAGATTTTCTTATTTTTTCTTGGTTTGTAAGAACCGGTCCTTAAACGGTTTTGCGGTTCACCCGGTCCGACTGTGATTTTTTCCGGTTCTTAGACAGTGACCCGGTTTTTTGATACTTGCGGGTTTATGTGTTCAACCGGACCGGACTACCGTCCGGTCCAGGTTTCAAAACATTGGTCAGAAGACATCAAAATGGAAGATTCTACGGTGGAAGAACCCAACAATATGCATTTATGTGTTTTTTAGCTGGAATATCGTTTTTTCCAAAATAAATCCCGCGCAGACGCAGTCGACATGTACATGTTGAATTTGATAGGTTAAAATTGACATTGAGATGTCGATTTTGTAGTAGAAAATTCGACATTTCACAATGTCGAATTTTGTGCTACAAATTCGACATTATGGTGTCGATTTGTATGTACCAAATTCGACATACTCTTGACGTCAAATTTGGGTCTTTTTTCGACGCTTAAGTGCCAGTTTCTAGCATAGTTTTTCGACACACTGGTGTCGATTTTTACCATTTTCAATTTTTTTCTCTTTATTTTTTGAAAGTCGAACAAAATAAGGAATTAACAATTAACTACTCTAGTGAATTTATTAACCACGATACATTTGTAACAAGGGATGAATTGCTGAAGTGGGTAGATGTCTCGGAGTGGTCTTTACAATCAAGTCATCAAATCCTGGACTCAATAGACGTAGAAAACCATATCTGATGCTTGTGTGTAAACGTGCGTATTTCATAATATAGCGTTCGTATATATAGTTCATTCTATAAGTGCACATCCATCCATATTTCAAAAATCCATAAAAAATTCCACAAAATCAACAATCCACAAATATTTGCCAAAATCCAACGAAATCAACATAATCTAATATAAGTCTAGAAAATGTAACATAAATATAGAAAATTTAACATAAATCCACAAAATCCTAAAAATCGAAGATAAATCATATATTTTTCTTCTTCTTCTTCGATTTATACGTTCTAAGAACTGCTGCTTCAGGTACGATGGCGGGGGGGGGGGGGGGGGGGGGGGGAGGTGCATGAGGAGGACGAATTGTGGATTTCCCGAGCATCCTCTACAAAAAACCAACAACAATTACATTTAAAAAAAATCAAAAAGTTAAATTTTGACATCTTGAAGATGTCGATTTCTGACCATAAAAATCAACATCTTGGTGTCGATTTTATTACTGTATTTGGACATCTTGAAGATGTCGATTCCTTACCATAAAAAAACGACATCTTGGCGTCGTTATTGTTAGAAATCGACATCTTCAAGGTGTCGAGAAACAGTAATAAAAGTCGACATGTGTCGAAATATAGCAGCCAAATTCGACCTACAAATGTCAAATTTTCCCTTTAAAAAATGACATTTGCAGGTTGAATGAATATGAATCAAAACTGTTGGTGCCAGATTTCCATGAGTAAAGAAATCCGCCATACATGGAAATTAAAGATTGACAAAGATGTGTTTTCCATGTTTATTATGGAATTTATTAGAGTCCTAATCTTATAATGCTTTTATTATGACTTAGATTTATTTCTATTTATTTTATTCTAGTTAGGTATCTTTTGTATTTATCTAGATTAGAAACATAAATCGACTAGGATTCTATTACCTAGTTAAATCGATTTCTTTAGGTTCAAGTTAGGTCTTAGAGGGTATTTTCGTGGCTATATAACCCTCCTAGACTCTAAGAACCGTGTGCATTTTGTTGGAAGAAAAAACACTTCATGGCATCGAAGGTTTGCTATGGCGTTCTGCGGAGTCCATAAGCCTCCTAGACTCTAAAGCACCATGTGCATTTTATTGGAAAAAAAACCACTTCATAGCATCGAAGGTTTGCTAAGGCGTTCTGCGGAGTAGGACTGTGCCATCGTTGCGTGTGCCAACATATACAAGTTGCTGTATAGATCTCAAGGGGGATCAACCGCGTTTCTGAAGGGAGTTCAGACTTGAAGGGAGTTCAAGGCATGCAGAGTGGAGCTGCTATAGAGAGAGACACGAAGTTCAAGTTGTATACAAGAACGGCGTAAAAATTAAAGAGGGAGTCTTTATTATTTTTAATAAGTCCTATTAATGTACACTGTAAATTTGAACTAGTGAAATAATGTTTGCAGGTCCACATGGATGTAGGGCAAATTTGTTTCTGAACCACATTAATTTCTTGTGTTCATTTATTTGCTTTCAGTAGTTTGT